AGGTGTTTACTAATCTTATAAATCCCATTCGTGGACAAAATATCAGATTCATTGACGATTTACGCTTAGACATTTTCCATCGTGAAGGAATTCTAATCCTTGATATCAGCTTGTACTACCTAATTGAAAGCCAAACACTAGAAGCAAGATGAAAGTTAAACTTTTCTTAATAAATGAAGCTTCTATAGGTCTGAGAAAAACAAATATCAAAGTGAATGATTGAAATTTGTCTGAATTTTTACGAATTTATTAATATAAACTGATTAGTCAATCAAAGATGTTTCTCAAAAAGAAAATGTATAACTCAGTTGGGCAGACGATGTTATATAAAATATTTGAGAAATGGAAGGTTAAAAATATAGTACACAAATAAACATAACTGAACGGCTTAGTTCGGAATGTTAGAAGGTCTAATTAGTATTTGTCGTACTGTTATGTTATTGAACTATCGACGGTACGCTAATCGATGTCTTAGATCAAGATTCGTTATGCGCTAATTTCGAACAAACTTTCAATTTCAATTTGGGGTACTTTGGTTAGTTTTAACTGGTATCAGTACTTGTGGTCAATACTATATTAAATTGACTGAGAAAAGTAATTTGCAATCAAGTATTTTCAACATCAGAAAAAAGAGTATCAAAACGAAGAAACTTCAAAAACGAACAAGTCTCAATCAGATACACTAATATTGATTGAATTGAAATCAATCGCGGCAGGGTTTATAAATATACTGAAAAATAATTTTTTATTAAATGATTTTATTGAACAAGAAACTAATTTAAAAACCCGTTAATTTAATTGTAAAATAACAATTACACAGAAGCTATTTGTTCCAGCGACTTGCATCTAATTATACATATTCTTAAGCTTTCAATAATAAAAAATTTTCATAAAATGTCTTCCTTAGATTCTTACTAGAATTTCCATTAAGGCTCTCCTCCTCAAGCAATATCTTGAAAACAACTTATGAGAAAAATTCCAAGTTTTCAGAGCAAGTAGATCTTGACGAGTAAAGCAAAACTTGTCATTCTAGATACTGTCTTCTGTAAGATACTGGGATTACAATCTTTACCCCCGTTCCTCCGAGATGTTATGTTCAACTTCTTTGTCATGAAAAAAGTTGGTTTGAGAAAAACTCGAAACAATCTAAATTTGTTTTTGTTAATGTTTAAAGACAATTTTTGTATCCTAGAACGTACTGCGTAGACAGGATACTAATTCAGACAATAGAACAGTAACAAAAGGCCAAAAATTTTGCATTACGAAAGACTTTACCATTTATGATGCATACAAATATCATCAAAATCAACATATTATTTTAAAGGTTTGAATGCTGATGTTGTTTTTATTTAAATCAGGTACTGTTACAACTGTTAAAAATATGTTTGAACGACAAATACGTTTAAGTCGTTATGATGCCGATAAACTTATTAATACATCAATACCAAGTAGTAGTTCTCGTATGAATAGTCAACATCGTGATATTTCAAGTCCAACACGTTCACGTAGTGTATCACCGAATGATATGGCTATACGACAGCGACGAACAACTATAGCTGGACCTATATTACCATTATCATCAACAACATTATCATTACCAGTTCCAACATCTTATCCTGATCTTGTTATATCTCATACACCACCAACAGAAACAAATAAAAATTCTACAGAACAAATTCATAACGAAAATCATACAGTTAATAGCCAAGGAGTAACTAAAGAAAAAAAATTATCAAATACAAATCGTAATTTAGTACCACATGAACATATTCCACTAAGTGTTATTATTGATGAATGTTCATCTAATCTATCAACTAATCATCGTCCAAATCTTTTACTTCCATCGAAGTTATTATCTGAAACTGTTGATTGTCAACCATTAGATTTTAAAAGCCGTTTAGCTTTATTCAATCGTACAAATACTCAACGAATAAATGAAAATTCAACAAATATTAAAAAATCTGTTAATCAAACAAATTCATTATCATCACATCTATTAACAAAACCAATCGTTCTTCACCCAACACATTTAGTAAATGAAGAAAAAAAAGATACGCAAATAGATATAATTCCTAATCCATTATCAATATCAATATCTCGATCAGTTGTTAATACAGCTAAAGCTGTTACATTTTTTGGTGGTAATAAATTAAATGGAAATACAAAATCATCATTACCAGATACAATACTTCCACCTCCACCACCATCATCATCATCATCTTCATCATCATCGTTATCATTATGTGAAATAAATATCAAAACTGAACCATCAACATCGATTGATTTACATCGCGCACCTGATGTCATTGGTGGAAATGTTAAATTAAATAAATCATCAATTTTTTCAGGATCAAAAAAGGTTGTTGTTGTTTTTCTTATTTAATATTTTTTCAGTATTTTTTTTTAAATTAAATTTAGAATATTCGAGTACAATTTATTGACAATGTTGATACATATGAATATCCTTCATTTGAAGTTGTTATGGAAGAACATGGTAGTAATGGTTCAGATGATGATAATGATATGGAAGTTGGTGATAATCTCACAAATGTCACTAGTAATGGTGATCATGATAATCATAATCCGATGAAAAATAATATTAATGGTAAAAATAATGATAAAGAAGACGAATTAATCGATAATAATAATCAAATTGATGATGTTGATGATGATGAACTTGAACGTTTAGCACGGATTAATGCTGAGTTTAATACGAATAATCTTACAGAGAAACCATTAAAACCAAAAGGTAAGAGTTTTGTTTTAGAATAAAAAAAGGTTCTGACGTTCTATACTCGTCAAAAAAAAATAATAATTGAACTTGAGAGCGTTTAGTTTTTCATAAAAGGAATAGAATTTTTAAAAAGTTAAATTTTCACATAATAATCACGATTTGTTATTCGTTGATCTCTAAATTTAACTTATTCGGACCTAAAAAGGTATCATCAAATGCCTTTCAAGCTTCCAACATTTCTCTTTATACAATACTGAATCTTATGTGATAGCTAATCTTGCCAATCATTTCATACTCAAACGTTTTTGATTAGGAATTTTGACTATTGAATTAATGTAGAACTTTATCATTAGTTGAATAACTGATTAGTAGACAATAAAAAAAACTTTTTATCAATCAGTCAAACCGATATATGCTCAATCAACTTTGATATTAGTATAAGTGCCTAGCAAAATAGAACATCGAGCAACTTTTTTTTGTCTCACGAGCGAAACCATCCGACTGAAAATCTCTGTTTGGACTCATATTTTGCTCATAATGTAGCTAAAAACCCTGAAAGGGTTATCTAATTAAGCCTCTCTTCTTGAGTTATGGTTATTGTACTAAACTTTCAGTCTATTGCAGGATATCACGAGACAAATAACAACAACTAGTTTCGATCTGAAATTTTCCCTTAGAAGTGCTCTCATACTTATTATGGTATCTTGAAAGTTTTAGATGAAACAGGTGATTTCGTTTTTAAGACATCAACTGCCTAAAAAGTAGGTTGTTATTTGTGAAGCTATTATGAGAAAGTAATGTTTTTTGCAAACGTGTTACACCAGAAAGGACATTCTCCTTAGAGCTGAAACTTTCAGGACATCATAAGAACTACGAGAGCTTTTGTGCGAGAAAATTTCAGGCTAAAACTGCTTATTGCAATCTTTCTCATGATATTCTACAATAGGCTGCAAGTTCAATAAAATGACCGTAACTCGAAAAAAAAGGTCTAATAGCCCGAACCTTTTCAAGATTTTTATGAGCACAATGAGCTCAAACAAAGATTATTAGTTGGATGGATTCCCTCATCAGTCTACCCTGTTGATTGACACAACAGGTAGCGATATAACCAAGGATAAGCCGCATCCGGTGTTGGCCTTCTACCAAAAACCAATAATATTCATCATTTACATTATCTCGGATGGATTTTTGAAAAAAAAACTTGTGCACTGTCGTAGCACCTACGATTTTCTGGTTACACTATTAAGAACAGGATAACGTATCAAGTATCACTAGATGACAATGCATATTATTCTGAAATTGTAAAAAAGAAACTAGATCAAATATCGGACTAGCTTCTTTGCTTTGTCCAATGCTCAGATCTAGTGCCCAGTATTGCAGTAAAGAAAAATGAAATTGACAAGGTTCTCATATATTAATCGATCCATGTTGTTAGTGAAGAGTAAATTTATATGATAATCTAATAATCAAATATGTATACAAGCTACGATCAAAATCCTACCTGATTTTACTTATTTGCAATTTTTGTAAGCAAACTATATAACATAATTTTCGCTAAGCTATTATTTTTGAAATCACCAATAAATAATTCTTTGAATTTTTCTTTATAGGTACTTTACATACATTTCGTCCGACTCATCTTGATCAATATGAATTAGGTACTCAACATGGTTCTTTAACAATATCCAAATCGTCAGATACTCCTTCTACAACAAATTCCTATTCTATATTAGCACGACAGAAACTTTTATCGTCTTCAGATATGTCAACAAAAAATTCAACAAATCATTCTATTTTAAAACAGCAAAAAACGAATTTTGATATGACAAATAATATACAATGGAGTTCAATGTCCACAACGACTGATCTGCTTTTTTGAATTTTTCCTTTTTTCTTTTTTTTTTTTCCTTTTTTTCAAACAGTTTGTCGAAGAGTATGTATACAACATAAAATTTTTTCTGTTCTCATTTGGCCACTAATTGATGTGTTATTAACTATGTTCAAATTTTTTTTTCTTTTTTTCTTTCTATACTATTGAAATTAAATAGACATAAATTAAAGAAGTCAGTTATGTGCACGCTGCTTTTTAACATATTTCCTTTTTCTTTTTTTATTAAATATTATGTGCGCGTGCATACATGAGAATTTCTTTTTTTTTTTCCTTTTTCATTATTGTTATTAAATGGTTATTTGGATTATCTGTGTTGTGAATGAAAAAACGAAAAAAAAAAAGATTTATACATTGAGAATGAATTCTTTATAGATTATGGCAAATAATGATGAATATGAATCTTTTCTTCAAACACATGAATTTCAACTTTTAGTTAATAATATTCCAAAACATTTCTATCGACGTTTATATGAAAAAATGAAGAATGAAATATTTGATAGTGGGTCATATTTTCAATTATGTCCGGTTGATGATGATGACGATGATTTAGAAAGAATTTATAATCCTGAACGTCGATATTATGTATCAACATTAGAAGATGTTGTATTAGATCCAAATAATGATGAAAATGCTATATTTCTTATTGATCATGCTTGGACATATAGAATAAAAGATGCACGAAGTAATCTTATGAACATACCAAATTTATATGAACGTATGGCATCATTAATGAATGTTGATGCAGAAACAAAAGAAGATAGTATTGAAGTTATTTTACAACGTATGTGGAAATATAATCAAACATATACATTAACATCAACACAAATTGATCCACAACAAGATTGTGAAGAAGCATATGAACCGTATTGGTAGGTTTGATTGATATTTAAACATTTTAAAAAGGCGACAAACACATAGATTAAAAGATATTAATACAATCTTTGAAGGATTAAAATATGAAAGATGATGTAGTTGCTCTTACTAATCATAAGAAGATTATTTTATTCTATCTATTTTGGGACACATATCTTCACCATCGTTTCACTTCACCGTCCAGGAATGCAATAAGGAAATAGTTCATGTAGTATAACGAGACATTATTGATATACAGTCTGTGACTAGAGACTATCGAGTTGCTTTTAGGCTCGATTGAGTTCGAGCCGAAAAATTTTGGACCCGACAGGCTCTATTCGTGACGCAAGGAGAACTGTTGCTAAGAGATCTATTACCGTCTATTGAGAGACTGGGGTGCAAGTTATTATCCATATACTTCAAAACCCATTTTACATCGTGCCAAACAAAATTTAACCGATGAAGTGTTTCAAATAATATTTTATGTATTGTTCTATCTTCATCTACAGTTATGAATAAATAGATAATCCAAAAAAATAATAGCTTCGTTTCAAATAACACCAATTATTAACAAATCAAATTCTTTCTCAGTGACTAAAATATTGTTGTTTACGTTCAAAGTTATACAGGAGATTCAACGACGGAAATAACATGATTTATGTAGAGTAGTAAGCCGATCATCTGAGTCACTGCAACACAGAAATAGGTATTTTTGATTTTTAAAAATATTTCACGTTTTAAATCGGTTTTCAAAAATGTTAGCGTCTGGTTTCTTGTCAATAGATTTTTTACTATGGTTTTCTCTTCTTTCATTTCAAAACTTCTCTAATCGTAAATTAAGAAGTCTTTTCAAAAATTCATCAAAAAGTTTTGGCATCCATTTAAAACAACTTTGAAAATTTGTTTTTTTTTTATTTTCTAACTATTTGCTTCAACATTTAGTATAGAAAAGAATAAAAATAAGAATTTAGCGATTCAATTTGACTTATACTAGTATACGTCATAAACTATTGCAAGTCTAATAGTTAAAATAAATCTTAATAGTTCCTCGTTCGTAATCACATCCTTGCAATAAACTAAGCATATCTATATCTATATAGGTTCATAATGGACGAATTAGGTTCATCAATACGGCATTCTACTAAACATGCGAATGTTTGTTGTACATCATTCTTCTTTGCACCTAGTCAAACAATGTTTACAATTCTCTATCCAATTGTTCGTATTGATCAACGATATACGGAAATTTTTCGTAATTTTGTCTACGATAATAAAGATACATTAGATCATCGTGTTCGATTATTACCATGGCAACATTTAAATGATCGTAAAACATTTCTTCGCAGTTTAGTGATAGAAAATAATCTGGAAATATTTAATAAACGACTTGAAAATAATCTTGAAATCTATGAAAAATGTCATCAAAATGATTTATATGATAAAAATCCTATTATAAATAAATCAATAAAAATTGATAATGATCATATTTGGAAAGTTTATACAGATCATGATTTAGTTAAGCAATATTTAACTGATAAACATTATCAATTAATTGACAATCCTGATCAAGCAAATATTTTATTTGTTATGAAACAACTTAAAGATTTTCGTCATGAAACATTAGGTAATAAATTAATTAATCAATTTCCATTTGAAAATATCGTTACGAACAAAGAATTATTAGCACTTACTGCAAGACGATGGAAATCATTATATGGGTAAGTGAGATCTATATATTTTTATTATGTCTCAAAGGACATTGAATGGATATTTGATATCTAAGAAGTTATTTATTAAGAAAATAGAGAGCATTTATTTACTAAATAGTTTTTCAATGTAAGATGATATTCTAACAGCGAGTAAATCCAATTAAATTTAGCCGAAATTAAGACCATGTTTAAACTCGAAACGACAGAATCGATTTTACTTAACATTATGATGTGTGTACTAATTGATGATGAATGTATTTTTAATAGAAATATAACTTAGATTTTGTAAGAAGTAAAGATTTGATAAATTATTTAAAATGAAATTGAGATATTTATATTATAGTCATCTCGTGTAATAAGATTAGTGTTGTTTTCTTTCTTTGATACATATATTAAGTGAGTCGAATTTCAATATGATTTGTAAGCTCATATTTCACAACAGTTTCTGATATGAGTCAATATTTCGAGATCCGATTCAAGGTTAAAAATAGTTTTTAACTAATACAGATGAGATTAAGTTTCTATTTTGATGATCTAAATAAACTCTTTCAAAACTAAAAATAATGAAATCATTATCTTATCTAGAATTGCTATATATCTTATGTGAAGCTCAACAATGAGCAATTTTTTTTGCAGCCCGACTCAAGTCGAACCCTGGTTTTACAATATTATAAATTGAATATTTTTCATTGATATTTATTGAATCAGAATTCTTTTTGTTAACTTTCAAATAAAATATGACTTATTTTCATCATGAGTCAATCATAGAAAATAATTCTATACCATTTACAATAGTTGTATTTTGATATTTATTATAGTTTTTTTTTTTCGGTTGTTAACAATTTATCCCTTATTGATTAATATTAAAACATTTAACAAATGTCATAATTCAAAGAAACTAGTACTTTTAATTTTGAATTAAAAGTTTGGACTGTATGGCAACTCTTTGATAAAAATTTTATAAGTCATTTATCAATAAATTGAACATTTAGTTTCACATTTGATAAAATTTAGTTTATTATTTAGCAAAAACGTTTATTGAGAATATTTTCGATTTAAAACGTGATTATTATACATTGTCATTAGAGAACTGTGAGTTCTTTCAGACCCAAGTCTGACTGGATCTAAGTCTGGATCCACCAAAAACGTCGACTTGCAGTTCTCTACATTCATCGCATAGACTTTATTCCTGCTTGATCTTGTTTCAATAAATACAGCAGAACATTTTGATGTTACTGTTAGTTTGATGAGTTTTGTTTATCAATTAATTGTTCAGTTTTCTTTTTTGTTAAAACACATGTTCTTTTCAACTATGTGAAAGCTTTTAATTTATTATGCAACGTGTGATTGGAAAGTGAACAATAAGAAATAACTGTACATTGACTTTCCTTCCGAGAGCAACCAATAAATAGTTAAAATCTTGATGCCTTGCTTAATTATGTGCACCAACGGTGCCGGATATTGATAGAAAAAAAATTGGATCTGGACTCGGCTGAGTCTACAACAACATAAACTTGCTGCTTTCTATTTATTCCTGTAATGTCTCAATATCCCTAAATTCTTTTAGATCATCATCATCATTATCATCTGGTAATGATGCATATATTGATTCACACGGAAGTCCTGCATGGCTAGCAACAACATTTAATCTCACTTATGAATTATCACAATTTGCTATTTATTTTCAAGTAATTTTTTCAGTTATCGTTCACATTGTTTTTTCTTTTATTTATCATCTTTGTTTTCAATTATTAGTATCGTGAAGATCAACAACTTGATAATACATGGATAATAAAACCAATAAATTTAACACGTTCAATTGATATGTCAGTAACAAATACATTTGATATGATCATTCGTTTACCTGAATCAGGTCCAAAAATAGCATGCAAATATATTTCTTCACCTGTTCTATTAAGAATACCTGAGATGGAAAATCAACATGTTAAATTTGATGTTCGTTATGTTCTACTTTTACGTAGTATACGGCCATTAAAATTATATGTTCATAAAATTTTTTGGCTTCGTTTTGCAAATAAGCCATTTTCAATGGATGAATTAGATGATTATGAAAAACATTTTACTGTTATGAATTATCGACCAAATGCATTTTTACGACAAATGAATTGTCAAACATTTATATCAATGTATGATGAACAATATGGTCAAAATAATGAAACATGGTCAATTGTTGAAAAACGTATATTTCAAATGTTTAGAGAAGCATTTCAATGTGCAACGATAGAAGAACCACCATTTGGTATTGCATCATGTTTATCATCACGAGCCTTATATGCAGCTGATTTAATGCTTGAAATGCTTGATAATAAAGTACAACCAAAATTATTAGAAATTAATTTTACACCTGATTGTCATCGTGCTTGTACTTTCTATCCAAATTTTTATAATCAAGTTTTTAATGTTCTCTTTCGTGATATAGTTGAAGAGCAAGATGTTATAGATATTTCGGTATAACAAATTTTGAAATAAAATATACTGAAGTACAACTTACAAAAGAATTTGAATGAATGGTTTCAGTCAGAGAAAATAAAAGAACAAGGAACGACGTCCTATGTTCGAATCTAACAAATAGAAGAAAAAACGTCTGTTGATGAATATTTGAATTACCGTCTGAGCTGTAATCTCATTACAACACTGATTTTACCAAGCGGCTATTTGTTTTCTGAAGACGTTTTTTAATCTTAAGAAAACTAAATTGAACGAAAATTACATTGTCTTCTTTGAGAATTTTACAGTGCTTCTAGAAAATTACTTGATCCTTTTTATTATTTAATGCTATTTCTAAAGAGATTTACACTATGTTCGAAATTCATATTGTTGTCGAAAACAAGTTCTAAGATCTGCAATACGATACTTTAGGGATATAACAAAATGGGACTGATTCTGCCCTCCCCCCATACCTGTCTACAAATGGTTGAGTTTCGCTTACAAGGAGACTTGAGCATATTCTAGAAGTCTAACTAAAGGGCCACTGCGCCTCATAGAGCCATTCATAACTGTTAAGGATCGAGACGAAGTCTGGTTGTTCTTCGTTGAAATGTATCTGTATATTTTGAGACAACAGAATATACATTTGAATTTCAAAATGACGAAAAATGTTATAGATAACTATATAAAAAAGTGTCATACTGAACCTTTTTTTTTCAATACCATTTTCAGGATCTTGTTCAGTTTTATACATGGCCGCTAGAACTGGAAAAGGTTTTAGTCGAAAATTTTGGAACCTTGAGGAGCTCTTTACTTGCTGACTAGAACTCAAAGAAAAGATTCAGAAAATGGTACTCAAATCTAGAACCTAAAAAGGTTCAGGATCTTCTCTAAAACCATAGAAGGTTCAGTGTAACACTTTTTCTTAGAGAGTATGTCAAATAAATTCATGTTAAAGATTAATTGATATTGTTGGCTGTTTTAAAATTGTAAATCATTAAATAAGAAGATATGATTGATATGATCGAGTGTGTTTAAGAAATCAATGAATACACTATATTGAATATTCACGTAATGATAAATCATTTATTAAATTAAGTAATTCATACAATTAATGATACAACAAATAAAAATATTCATTTTGGTCTTTAGCATTATCTTGTATATTTTAAGTTGCATTTCTTTTTCGTTAATAACTATTTAAACAACATTCATAATCAGATTCATCAACTTGATCTAGGTTCCAAAAATTAATTTAATCTAATTGTTTAACATATAAAACTGTACTGAAACATAAAAATAATAAATAATAAGCAAAAATATTGTTTCTTTCTTTTGTTGTTTTTCTATCTCTGTTTTATGTCTGTTGATTGATTAAAAAGTATTTAAAAAAGTTTAATTAAATCAATTTTTTGGTGACGTTGAATTATTTTACAATATAATACTGGTAATAATTGTAAATATTTTTCTATTCAACTTTTAGTATTAATGATTCAATTTTGAAGACCTTTAACAGATGGAAATATTTAAATCTTGTTCAGATATTTTATTTGAAATTTTTTTTTCTTTTTTTTCTTTTGAAAGAAGATTCTGACGAAGTAAATATTTTGGACAAGGCAATATACAACTTTATTGATGAAAACATCACTTTTCATTTTATCTCATCATTATCTTATATGATTCCTAGAAGGATTGTATTGAACCTAAATAATTCACAACATGTTGTATCATGAAACAAAATCTTTCTATCATACATGATTAGGAAATTATACGAATAATTTTTTTGTAACATGTTGACTAGTGGCGGATCTAGGGTTTTTAGTATGCTGGATTTAATCTTCAGAGCATGGAACTCAGATGAAACTTATATAGGTATGATATTGAACTCAAATGTTGAGCTTTTATCGAAAGATTTTTGAAATGGGAGTTTGCGAAAAAAATTAGCATTTTCCTGAACCCCTCTTAAGAGTTTTCTTTTACTATTAGTAGTATTCTATTTTTTAGAATTTAATAGTAAGCTACATCAAAATTCATAGACAGATTTCAGATTTCATCTAAAAATATGCATTCATTCAGGAGTTATAACTTTTTGAATGTTTGCTAAAATTTTAACAGCATGTAACAAAAATTCAAAACGTTATAACTCTTGAACAGATGTATATTTTTAGATGAAATTTGAAATCTATAGATAAATTTTGATGTAGCTTACTATTAAATTCTAAAATATAGAATACTCCTAATAGCAAAAGAAAACTCTTGAGAGGGGCTCAGGAAAATGCTAATTTTTTTCGCAAACTCCCATTTCAAAAATCTTTCGATAAAAACTCACCATTTGAGTTCAATATCATATCTCTATAAGTTTTATCTGGGTCCCATCCTCTGAAGATTGAATCCAGCATACTAAAAATGCCTGGATCCACTACTAGTGTTGACGAAGTATTGAATGCTTAAAAGACAGTTAGAAAATTTTCAAGTTTGAAGGTAATTTAAAGAGGATAACTATTGATAGAGTAAGAAGTAAGGAAAAAATCTACAACAAAAAACTGTAGTTTTGATCGTTCAATCGAGATATTATAACGTCCATTCAAAATTTGTTGTATAATTCTTTTTAATAGGATAGCAATGGACTTTTCAAACAAAAGCTATTTCGATAACTCCCGTGATTTTCTCTCGAGTGATATACAAGTCGCAAAATATAACAAGCAGCAGTAATTGGTTAGTCAGTATTTTCATTGGACTTAATCTTGTTATCTCTCTAAGCCCTACTTTGCGTGATTAACAAATACTATCATCCACACTATATCGCAGTGTGATATTAATCTTTTACATGAAAAAGTTTTGTCAGTACAAGTGCTTTGTGCGACCGAACGATGGAACTCTGAAAGTCTGACTTTTATAAAATTATGTTGTATTGTCAGAAGTTTTTAAATAATCTATTTTAAAACGAAATCAAATAAATGAACAGATCAAAGCTTTAATAATTTTGATTGTTGATGTGTTCATTCAGAACCTTTATTCTATTGACCATGTTCTTATTTATAACGACTTTTCAACAAAATCTTTTGATTCATTTAACATCGTAATGTTGAAAAAAAAACATTTGTATTATCAAACACATCTTCGCTACACCTGCTTTTATCCTAATGATACAGGTGATAAAAAACGGCACATACGATTTTACTCTCCGTTTCGACGCGTCAGCTTTGGAGTCTTGGAAACCAGTGATGAATTTCGAAAATTCCGTTTTTCCTGTCTCCCAAGAGTATTTGAATTGATACACACGACTCTAATCAACCATCATATTAACCGTCTATGTACATTGATTAAATCGTTGAGTTAGCTACTATTCATGACACTCTTTCTCTCGATGAACGTAGACAAATATTGTTGAGTTTTGCCTAAACTAAAAATTCATCTAGTTTCTATTTTTCAAGTTTAATACGATTTGAATTTTGTTTGATCGAAAAAAAAACGAACGTCCTATTGATTGACGGCTACTATGACATCCTTTTGCCACATCAAAAGCTCAAACTTACAATATCTATACTAATGTGCACACCAAAATTAAAAAAGTGTTAGTGTAAGCACAATAACTCAGCAACAACAATAACTAGTGATCTGTGGGTTTCAGCAATCGAAGAAGAGGAGCTCTAGACGTATTTTTATTACATACTATACAAGACAAAATTATTATATAATCCACCATTTTCGCGAAAAGTTTTTGAAAAAATACATCAAAAAGATGTTACCTTACAGTGAAATCTTGATAAAAACTCACAATATTTGCTAAAAATTAATCCCTTGGTTATCGCCGACGTGTAGAGAAATAAGTACTAGGAAGCTGAGACCTATGATGCTACCATGAAATGATGGTATGTCATAGATTCGTGCCTTAAAAAGCGAACGTGCATAGGAAACAGTCAGTTTGTTGTGCATATCCTTATCTTTTTTTCTTTTTTCTTATGCAAGACCTCACTGAACAGTGCAGTTATATAATAGAGCTCATATTTAGCAAATCATTGAGTCAGATATTTATCTTCTCTAATTCCTTTGAATACAACCAGTCAGACTCTTTGAAGATGTTATGTGTGCAGAAATACTGAACGACGTGCGAAGGAACAAAGTGATACGTACTAGCAATGGATCGAATACGATGTTGGTTGTGCATTACGAATGGTTTCAAAGACTACCATATCTTACAGAACATTTATAGCTATCTCGTAGAAATCTATAAAATTGGATCAATAACGAATAGCTACGATGTCTTTCTAACGAGGCTTTTTTCTTTCTTTTATATTGATAACTAAAGTGCTAAATCTGCTGATCATCATTAAAACATTACAACAACTAAATCCTGGCACACTATTTTTATAGTAAACTATTGTCTTCTTATTAGAAGAGACTCTATTCTCCATAAACTATTTAGCTTCTGTAATATACAGAGGTTGAACACTTGGTAACGTCTCATTGAGAGTTCCGCAGATATTATTGTGAAATCACGAAAAAAAAGATTTCCTCAAGTAAAATTTGTTTTTATTATGAGCACATGATTAAAGTCAACAACACAAAATCTCGCGGTTTTTTATTTCTATTATTGTTCTATTCCTCAAAACTATATAACTGGTCGTCGTGGACGCTTTTCTCTTCCTTTGTTTCTTGTTGCTGTTATTGTTTTTGTCCTTATAATTCTTTTTCTTGTTCTTGTGGATCATCTTCCTCTTGTAAGTCTTCTTCTTCTTGCATTTGTTGTTCTCCTAGTCCGTATTGCATTTGTTGTTCCCCTGGTTCGTATTGCATTTGTAGTTCTCCTTATTTTTTTTTTGTTCTGTCAGTTCTTCTGGTTCTTCTACTTCTTCTTCTATAATGTCACAATCATCATCATCGTCCTCATCAATAATATCAGGGTGATAATTAATTGAATCATCCTTAATCCAATATTCATGACCGATATCATCTGTTTCCGCTTGACGAACAGCGTATACTTGAAAAGATAGATCTGGATTAGCCATATAATCATATGGAATATAGCAATATCCGTCATCACCCTAACATGAAATGAAACATACATATTTCTTTCTATAAGGTTTTTATTTACCCAATATTCTCCCCAGGATTTTCGAACGATAAATGCTTTCGAATGATTACTGTAACCTACAACTAGCATTGCATGTCTAAAATGATAAATATTAAATGTCAATTTTTTCCATTCAAATATAATCCAAACCATCATGTATCTCTCGACTTGCTTCTTCTGGTTTTGGCGTTGGTATAACACCATTTTTACATCCTTTATCGAAGGATTGAAATAATAATAAGCCAAATGCAAATGGATAATCTTGCGCAAGACATGTTTTCATCTCATTTAAATCTACATCAATTTGTAATGCATCAACTATCTTTTTATTTTGGGCTGCTTTGTATGCTTTTTCATTTGGACGCTTATTTTTTTCTTGAATATCATATGCCCAAATTGATTCCTCACACACACCAAATTCTTTTAATGCTTCTAGAGCATCTGTTACAATACTACCTTCATCTTTGACATTTTTGTTAAGTCCGTTATCTTTAATACGAGCATTGTAATAAACGAAGAATCGACTTATATCAATGTTCGTGCTACTACTTTTTTTCAATAAATATTCAAGAGCTCCTTATAATCAAACATTTATGAAATCTTCAAAAGACATTTATATCTACCTGCAAAAGCAGTCGCTGCACTAAATTAATAGAAATTTCGTAGATATCATGATTGAAAGTCGAATATTTTATACATACCAACTATTCGTGTCTCCTTGATGTTTAATAGGCGTCATTTTTGAACGAAGATCAACTTTATGTGGAAGATCTGAAGCACTCAACTGAATATGATCATTAAACTTTCTTTGTAATTTTTCGTCTTTAGGAGGACGAGTTGAACGTCGTAAACTATGGACAGGATACTTTTTTCCAGTAGTTTTGTTCTGTAAATAATGTCGTCTTGGCATCAATAAATTTTATCTGATTAGATACGAGAAAACAGATCGAACAGCTAACTTTTAATAGCTAAAATTACGATACAATTATAAATACACACTTTTTCTTCACTTATATAGGCAAATCGTTCGTTATTCACATCGATTGATTATCCCAGTAGATAAGGACATGAGTTACGCTGACAAAAATCTTTTTTTTTGGTAAACCAACATGGTAGCGCACAGCAAAACACGTTCGCTTTTGAATGGATACATGAGAAATGAGTATACATCGTCGAAAAATATGTAATTTTCTATTTTTTATGAATCTATTCATGTGTAAGACGAACATTATCGAGTTTTGAGTGTGTAAGTAGTTTCTATATAATACATAAATATGACTTTTTCTCTGTCACAAAAGCATTATTTTTCATACAAATATTCATTTCCAGTACTCAACAAAAAAAGCGAAATTCGTTAAGAAAGATATTCAATATAAAATGTATGAAGAGACTTTAACCCTAAACTTGTGTTGAAGAAATGTTCATTTTAAAGAATAACAAGTGCTACATCATGCTGTCCAGTTTTTTCTTGCTGATTTCAAATATGTCCTTGTTTCTCTCTGAAGCTTCCCTTCCCGTCAAAAAAAAAATTGATTTCGAGATTTTCATGTGATTGAATAACCTTCTTTATCTACTTTCGAAGAAAGTCTTATTCACTGAAATTTCAATGCTTTTCAACGTTTTACGCTAGATTTACTGATGATGCTAGAGTTAATAAAAATGAGTTTTCAAAAAATGTTAGTTATCGTTGCTTTTTAAACTTTTCGCAAGATTTTCCCTAGTGAAGTATCTAGAAGAAATGTATGAAATAGTAATCATTATAAGCCCTCGAACAAATGGACTCGTGTTCTTATAGGTATGCATACACTTCTCTTTCTTCAACTGCATTCTTTCACGTCGATACTCAACTCATTCCTTACTTATTTTCATGATTTGTCTATTTCAGCTGTTGGCACGTATTGGTATGTATGTGAATAGATAGAACTGAAGAGAAACTTGCGCTCGATGACTTAATAGAGCCTGGTTTTTTACTTTTGACTTGATTCTTGAGAAAAATGAATTTTCTTGTATAGAATCATTCCTATTTTTTCCGAGATTTTTGAAAAAAACTGATGCCAAAAATTGATAAAGATAACTTTGGAAAATTGGATCCTGTTAAGTTGTATGCGTATCGATTACTGAATATGAGTTTTTAGAAAACTCTTAGTTGAGAAAGCATGCATACTTTTTTCAACAGGAAAATTGTTAGAATAAAGTTTTTCATATAGAAAGATAGAGTAATAACCTTACGATTTATTCCGTAGGTCTTTCTAGTTTGTCTAGAAAAATATTTTATCCTTCAAGATGAGAGAAATTTGACCATTTTTTAGGCCTGAAGTTTTTCCAAAGACTAATGAGTTAAAATAACTCTTTTTAATCAAAAAGTCAGCCATTGATCAACGTATATTGAACATTATTGCAAATTGAAAAAAAAGATTACTTTCATATATCACCAAATGTCCATGTTAATGCTCATTGTATACACAAATATTACTTGAACAAAACTTCGAACCGTTTGTTTTTCTAGTAAAAACTCGAAGGATGCTTTATCTTTTTAATGTTCTGTTAAAATTTATATCAAAAATGAATCATTACTATATCACATATATCATTTATTGGCAGAGATAATTTTCTTTTGAAACACTAAACTTTTCTCAATATGAATCAAATATATACTCAATTCATACTGGTTATATAAATAAATAGAGCAAAATAGGAGGTGGGGTTTCGTCAATGGCTATCGTACTTGTTGATTTTGGTACATTCACACCGATTTTTTTTGTGAGACGTTATTTATATCACCTGAATGTACTTTTTTTGTCGTCTGCTGTTTCTCACACTTACAAGATATATATTATCAAGAATAATAGGTCGCTTCACAGCTACACTTATGGTTTGCTCTTTGATAAAACATGTTTTATTTTTTCGTTGTATAAAAAAATTTTTCGTTTTCAAAATACATCATTTTCTTATCCTAATCTAGGCAAAAGCATTGTTTTTACATGGACCTGATTGAAAAAAAAAGTAGAATGTTTCATGGCGACCTCCATTGAAATTTATTTCAATATTTCAATGGACATATTTCTTGTCCAGTTAGAGCTGTTTTTCGTTCTTTAGTAGTGCAGTTATTGAAATATATTCGTTGTAAACCTGTTATTATATACAAGCATAAGGGTGCGATAATTTAATAGAAGTGTGACAAACGAAAATAGAAACACTGCACCTCTTTTTTGCACAAAGTTGGTTTTTTTCGATCATTATTTTACTTGAATCATTGCTCTTTTTCTCTTTCTTTAGACTATCACCAATATCACGCGTTTGAAGTGCGATAGCAAAGTCGAATATATATAGAAAGAAAAAGCATTAAGGTCAATATTTCTATCAATATTTAAAATTGCACAGCAAAGTTTTTTACAAACAAAAACACATTAGTACGATTCTTTCAAGCGTATATGGAATTCACACTTGATGATAATCAAACTGTTCCTGATACTCACAAAATGTATGACAATGAGATAAATCTTGAATCAATGCATAATGCAAATATATTTAAACGTATTGAAAGTGAAGGTGCCAATTTAGGTGCAAGAGGTTGTTCCCTTCAACCGGTAAAATATGTAAGTTTAATAGACAAAATTTTAAAACGTATTGCCGATAATGATCGTTGGTATTCACTTGAATTTTTTCCACCACGTACAGCCAGTGGTGCTGCCAATCTTATTGGATGGTAAATTTGTTTCTTATATTTTATTGTTCTGAATAAAATTTTCCTGTTTATTTTAGTTTTGATCGTATGGCAGCTGGTCAACCATTATTTTGTGATATAACATGGCATCCAGCAGGTGATCCAGCTAGTAATAAAGAAACAAGTTCAATGATGATTGCAAATACAATGTTAAATTATTGTGGAATCGATACAATGTTACATTTAACATGTCATGGTGCTACAAAAGCAGCTATGCTTGAATATCTCTATAAAGCAAAAGATTTTGGTATTAGAAATTTATTAGCATTACGTGGAGGTCAATTTTATTGAAATATGTTAATCGTATTTAATTTTAAAATTTATTTTAGATCCACCAGTAGGTGAAGATTGGGATCCAGCAAAGAGTGATTTTCGTTATGCAATTGATTTAGTTAGATTTATTCGACAACACTTTGGAGATTATTTTATAATTTGTGTTGCTGGTAAATTGAATTGATATGGTTTTGTTTTTTTTGAGGATTGGTTTTTTTTTGTTTTATTTTTTGATTAAGGTTATCCACAAGGACATCCGGATTCAACATCGTATGAAGATGATATAGCTCATTTAAAAGAAAAAGTTGATTGTGGAGCTGATTTTATTATAACACAACTTTTCTTTCAACCAGAAACATTTATTAAATTTGAATCTGATTGTCGTGCCATTGGAATTACATGTCCGATTATTCCTGGAATATTGCCTATCCAAGTAAGAAATTTGAATATTTTTTGTTTCTGAATTGAAAAAAATTATGATTTTAGGGTTATGCAAGTCTTCGTAATATTGTTCGATTAGCTAAACTAGATGTACCTAAAGAAATTCTAGCTTGTATTGAACCAATAAAAGAAAATGATGAAGCTATACGTAATTTTGGTGTTCAAGCATGTCTTGATTTATGTCGTACCTTATTAGATTCTGGTAAAGTAAATGGTCTTCATTTTTATACATTGAATCGAGAATTTGCAACAATTGAAATATTAAAAAGACTTGGTCTTTGGTTAGAAGATCAACCATTACGTGCTTTACCATGGAAAAAAACTTCCTATAGTCATGCCCGTTCAAAAGAAAATGTTCGACCAATATTTTGGAGTATAAGACCAAAATCTTATGTTCATCGTACATCAAATTGGAATGAATTTCCAAATGGACGTTGGGGTTTATCATCAGCACCATCATTCGGTGTATTAGCTGATTATCATTTATTTTATATGAAAATCGATGCAACACGCGATGAATTACTTGATGAATGGGGACGTGAATTAACATGTGAACAGGATGTTTGGCAAATGTTTGCATGTTATATTGGAGGTGAAAAAAATCATCAAAATAAAGTTGTTCGTCATTTTCCATGGACAGATGAAGAATTATCATCAGAAACAACATTAATTAAAAATAATTTAGTTGATTTTAATAAACGAGGAATTTTAACAATTAATTCTCAACCAGCTGTTAATGGAAAACCAAGCTCAGATCCAATTGTTGGTTGGGGTACACCAAATGGTTATGTTTATCAAAAGGTAACAATAAATTTTTGTAATCTTATGTATTATTAAATTCATAACGAACAAAATTTGATTAGGCATATTTGGAATTTTTTACAAGTGCAGATAATATTCCAGCATTACAAGCTGTATTAAAAAAATTTCCCAACGTTAATTATCATTTTTTGAATAAATCAGTAAGAATAGTTTTCTACTTTTTCAAAAAGTTTTCTAATAATATTCATTTTTATAGGGCGGAATTAATGAAACAAATGCAGATGATGAACAACCAATTGCTGTAACATGGGGTGTTTTTGCTGGTCGTGAAATTATTCAACCAACAGTTGTGGATCCTGTTAGTTTTATGATTTGGAAGGTAATTTAGAGAAATAAAAAAAAAAGAAAATATTTCACAATCTAATTATTTATTTTATTTCAATCAATATAGGATGAAGCTTTTAGTTTATGGACTGAACGTTGGGGTAAATTATATGAACCAGAATCACGTTCACATGCAATTATTGATAAAATAGCCAATACTTATTTTCTGGTTAATTTAGTTGATAATGATTATCCACAAGGTTCTTGCCTTTGGCAAGTATTAGATTCTATGTTTGAATATCAAAAACTATCAAACCAACCTATTGACTCTTGATAGTATCGGTATTCTTCTATTTTCTGATTGATTTTCAATTCTACTTTTTTTT